ACTATTACTACTACAATCCTAGGCCTGATAATAACAGTTTTCCCCACTCTTCTGTATATATTTATATATCTGCTTCTGGGGTCAGAATGGAAGAAGAGGAATGTGGGAGATTCAATCCCTGGGATAATCCTTTCCCGGTTGGATGTCCAAATAACAAAAACAACAACAATAACAACAACAACAACAATCCTAGACCTGATAATAATAGTTTCCCCACTTTTCTTTGTATATTTATATATCTGTTTCTGGGGTTGGAATGGAGGAAGAGGAAGGTGGGAGATTCAATCCCTGTGACAATGTCTTCCCGGTTAGATGTCCAAGCAATAACAACAACAACAACAACAACAACAACTATTACTACAACTATCCTAGCCCTGATAATAATAGTTTTCCCCACTCTTCTCTGTATATTTATATATCTGCTTCTGGAGTTGGAATGGAAGAGGAAGGTGGGAGATTCAATCCCTGTGATAATGTCTTCCTGGTTAGATGTCCAAACTACTACTACTACTACTACTACTACTACTACTACTACTACTATTTTAGCCCTGATCATAATAGTTTTCCCCACTCTTCTCTATATATTTATATATCTGTTTCTGGGGTCAGAATGGAAGAAAAGGAAGGCGGGAGGGGGGATTCAATCCCTGTGATAATGTCTTCCCTGTTAGATGTCCAAACTACTACTACTACTACTACTACTACTACTACAACAACAATCCTAGGCCTGATAATAATAGTTTTCCCCACTCTTCTCTGTATATTTATATGTCTGCTTCTGGGGTTGGAATGAATGAAGAAAAAGCTGGGAGATTCAATCTTTGTGATAATTTCTTCCCGGTTGGATGTCCAAACAACAACAACAACAACAATCCTACAACTGATAATAATAGTTTCCTCCACTTTTCTTTGTATATTTATATATCTATTCCTGGGGTTAGATTGGAGGAAGAGGAAGGTGGGAAATTCAATCCCTGTGACAATCTCTTCCTGGCTGGATGTCCAAACAACAACAACAACAACAACAACAACAATCCTAGGTCTAATAATAATAGTTTCCCCTACTTTTCTCTGTATATTTATATATCTTCTTCGGGGGGTCAGAATGGAAGAAGAGGAAGGTAGGAGATTCAATCCCTGTGATAATCCTTTCCCCGGTTGGATGTCCAAACAACAACAACAACAATCCTAGGTCTAATAATAATAGTTTTCTCCACTCTTCTCTGTATATTTATATGTCTGCTTCTGGGATTGGAATGAATGAAGAGAAAGGTGGGAGATTCAATCCTTGTGATAATTTCTTCCCGGTTGGATGTCCAAACAACAACAACAACAACAACAACAACAATCATAGGCCTGATAATAATAGTTTTCCCCACTCTTCTCTGTATCTGCTTCTGGGGTTGGAATAGAGGAAGAGAAAGGTGGGAGATTCAATCCCTGTGATAATCCCTTCCTGGTTGGATGACCAAACAACAACAACAACAACAACAATCCTAGGCCTGATAATAATAGTTTCCCCCACTCTTCTTTGTATATTTATATATCTGCTTCTGGAGTTGGAATGGAGGAAGAGGAAGGTGGGAGATTCAATCCTTGGATGTCCAAATAACAACAACAGCAGCAGCAACAACAACAATCCTAGGCCCAGAGACGAATCCTAGACCCTTGGGCCTAATGTGCATGTGTGCTGTGTTGTTGTGTACATGTAAAATAATTGTGTTATTATTTAATAATAATAATAATAATAATAATAATAATAATAATAATAATAATAAATTAAATAATAATTATTCAATATTTAATAAAATTATTATTTACACGAAGGCAAATTCTAAACTGATTTGGCTGGACCAAAGGCACCTTCTCCAATCTATATTCCCCTCCGTATTTATTCATCTGGATTAATGTCTGCGGTGGGTTTATTTTGACGGAATCCTTAAACCTAATTTATGAAATCCTTAAACCTAATTTATGAAATCGGAGGGGAGGATCCATGCCAGGGGAGGACTAAAAAGGGTGATGCAGAGGGAAAACGGATCCCTTTTGATCCATCTTCGGATGTCCGGATGTTTTCAGGATTTCCTCTGTAATCATCTGCACAGTGAAACCACTTTCTTCAAGGGAGCTTTGAAACTGCATTAAATAGTCAGTGTAGATGGGGCCTGGGTCTCTGTGTACACTGCATTGCATTAGTCTACACTGACGAGTGTAGATACTACTTGCATGAAGCAGGTGCATTACTCAGCTTTACATTTTCTAAACTGCTGTATAATCCAGATTATCTAAACAGATAACCCATATTACCTGCTTTGAACTGGATTATACGAGTCAGTCTACACTGACATATAATCCAGTTCCTTGATTTTATAGGTCAGTGTAGATCCAGCCTTAGGCCCCTTCAACTATCCCATATGAAGTCCAGATTATCTGCTTTGAACTGGATTATACGGCAGTATAGATTTGTATAATCCAATTCAAGGAAGATAATTTGGATCATCTATTTTGATATTTTGATAACCTGGATTATGTGGCAGTGTATATTTCTGTTTCTGGAGTTGGAATGGAAGAAGAGGAAGGTTGGCTATCCTAATAATAATAATAATAATAATAATAATAATAATAATAATAATAATAACAACAACAACTATAATGATAATTTAATATGTAATAATATTGTTATTTACTTGAGGTTTGCACTACTACCTACTTGGCTTGGGACTTGAATACAGAAAATGTAATTTTCCCCTCCTGATCTGCAATGGATAGTATGTTAATGTGTGATTTTTCGGGGGGGGGGGGGTTGTTTTGTTTTGTTTTCCTGAAACCAAATGGAAACCTTTTCTCTTGCGACGACTTCCCAATTGCAAAGGAAGCAAGGAAATTCTCTAATTTTTGTGGGATTTTCTTCCACCAGAGAAAAAAATAGCCTGGAGTTGAGTATGTGAGCATTTATTTATAATTTGAGGGTTGAATTCTGAATTTTCAAAGTCTTATATCTAACCTCAAACCAGATCCCTTGTGTGCTTTCTTGAAAGTAAACAAACCCAAGGAGGAAAATGGGTCCTTTCCCCCATATTAAACATTGGATTGAGAGAAGGAATTGGTTTGGATCGATTCAGAAAATGTATTTTCTGGGTTGTTATGAGTTTTTTAATCACTGTGAGTTTTTCGGGCTGTATGACCATGTTCCAGAAGCATTCTCTCCTGACCTTTCGCCTGCCTCTATGACAGGCATCCTCAGACATTGTGAGATCTGTTGGAAACTAGAAAAATTGGGTTTTCTCCAGGATTGGAGAAAGAACTCTTGTCTGTTTTAGGAAGGTCAGAAAGTTGCAATTGGCCATTTTGATTACCATTTAATGGACTAGCAGTTTCAAGGTATGGCTTCTTACTGTCTGGGGGATCCTTTGTTGGGAGGTGATTAGCTGGCCCTGATTATTTCTTGACTGGAATTCCCTTTCTAAATAACCCCACATGGCTATCCATGTACTTTCGCTCCCACTTTCCCTTCATGATAATATAATAATAATAATAATAATAATAATAATAATAATAATAATAATAATAGATATGTGTGTGTGTATGCTCAGGAGTGGGAAAACCCCTTTCTAAATAACCCCACATGGTTATCCATGTACTTTCGCACCTACATTTCATTCATTATATTATTATTATTATTATCCATTTATTGTTGTTGTTGTTCATTCGTACAGTTGTTTCCGACTCTTCTTGACCTAATGGACCAGTCCACGCCAGAGCTCCCTGTCAGCCCGTCACCACCCCCAGCTCCTTCAAGGTCAATCCAGCCACTTCAAGGATGCCATCCATCCATTTTGCCCTTGGTCGGCCTCTTCAAGGTCAATCCAGCCACTTCAAGGATGCCATCCATCCATTTTGCCCTTGGTCGGCCTCTCTTCCTTTTTCCTTCCATTTTCCCCAGGAAATAAATAAATAAATACAGAGAGAGAGAGAAAGAGAAGGAGAGAGAGTTTTAATATATTATTATTATTATTATGTAATTATATATATATATAATATTATTATATTGAAATAATAATAATAATAATAATAATAATAATAATAATAATAATAATAAGATAGGTGTGTGTGTGTTTGGCTTAAAAAATGTTTAAATATTTTTTTATTGATATTTTGCTTTGTGAGCGGGTTTACACAATTAATACATGAAAGATGTCAATAATCACATTTCTCTACACCCTTCCATTATCCTCCACCTCCTTCATTCAATATTGTCCACTCACTTATCTAGTATGTCTGAGTTCATGCAAAAATGTACCTGTAGTAAGTGAAATACAAATCCAGCTGGAGACCAACCCGGTGTTCGTAACCCGGGGACTATGTGCGTAACCCGGGACTATATTCGTAACTCGGGGCTGTGCTCGTAGGGGAACTTGTGTTTGCGAAGGAGGGACATACAAATCCAGCTGGAGACCAACCATGTGTTCGTAACTCGGGGCCATGCACGTAACCCGGGACTATGTTCGTAACTCGGGGCTGTATTCGTAGGGGAACTTGTGTTTGCGAAGGAGGGACACAAATCCAGCTGGACACCAACCGTGTGACGTAACTCGGGGACTATGTGCGTAACCCGGGGATAATGTTCGTAACTCGGGGCCATGCACGTAACCCGGGACTATGTTCGTAACTCGGGGCTGTATTCGTAGGGGAACTTGTGTTTGCGAAGGAGGGACACAAATCCAGCTGGACACCAACCGTGTGACGTAACTCGGGGACTATGTGCGTAACCCGGGGATAATGTTCGTAACTCGGGGCTGTGCTCGTGGGGGAACTTGTGTTTGCGAAGGAGGGACATACAAATCCAGCTGGAGACCAACCGCGTGTTCGTAACTCGGGGACTACGTGCGTAACCCGGGATAATGTTCGTAACTCGGGACTGTGTTCGTAGGGGAACTTGAGTCTGCGAGGGAAGCTAACCTGTGCCCGCTTTCTCTTTCTTTTTCTCTCTCTTCCTGCAGGGAGAACACGGAGAACAACAGCGCCTCCACCAACAAGCCCAACCAGCTCTCCCCGCTGGGCTCCGGGGCGAAGGCGCTGCTGTCCAGCTCGGAGGAGGAGTTCTCCCCGCCGCAGAGCCCCGACCCGCAGGCCTCCTCTCTGTTGCTGCTGCAGGGGGCGGGGCTGGCCCACGCCCACGCGCGGACCCCCTCCTCGGCTTACGCCCTGCCGGCCCCGCAGCCGCCCCCGCCCCACGCTCTCCCGCCCCACCACCCGCACCAGCTCCAGGACTCGCTCCTCGGCCCGCTCACCTCCAGCCTCGTGGACCTGGGCTCATAATCCGGGACGCAATCCGGGTGCGGGGCGTGTACATAGGGGGCCTCGCGGGGATTCCTTTGCGGGTGGGGAGGGGGTGTTTTTGTTTTGCTTTCCCAGAGTTTACCAAGCGGTTCGGAAAAAAGTGACTTTGGAAAACCACAACCAACTCTTCTCGGTCTCTCTCTTTCTCTCTGCCTGTCTTGATCCAGCACAATTCCAACTCTTTGGACACAATCCTTCTTCTCTCTTTCTTCAGGTCCACCTCCCATTGGGTCTTATCTATTCTGGGGGCATCCGCACGGTGCTATGGAAGCGGGTTGAGATATCACTTGGAGCTGGCTGCATCTACAACAGGTATGGGCAAACTCCGGCCCTCCAGGTGTTTTGGACTTCAACTCCCACAATTCCTAACAGCCGCTAGGCTGTTAGGAATTGTGGGAGTTGGAGTCCAAAACACCTGGAGGGCTTAAGTTTCCCTGTGCCTGATCTAAGCCCCTTCTACACTGCCATAGTGAGCCAGCATTGTCCGTAGACACCTCCAAGGTTGTGTGGCCAGCATAACTGCATGGAGCGATGTTACCTCCTCGCAGAAGCAGTACCTATTGATCTACTCATATTGGCATGTTTTCGAACTGCTAGGTTGGCAGAAGCTGGGGCTAACAGCAGGAGCTCACCCCACTTTCCGGATTCGAACCACAGACCTTTCAATCAGCAAGTTCACCAGCTCAGCGGTTTAACCCACTGTGCCACCAGGGGGCCATATAATCCAGATTACCAAAGCAGATCCTCTACATGATCTGGGGCTAACAGCAGGAGCTCACCCCGCTTTCTGGATTCGAACCACAGACCTTTCGATCAGCAAGTTCAGCAGCTCAGCGGTTTAACCCACTGCGCCACCAGGGGGCCATATAATCCAGATTATCAAAGCGGATAATCTACAAAGTGGATTATATCAGCGGGTTAAACTGCTGAGCTGCTGAACTTGCTGACCAAAAGGTTGCTGAATTTGCTGACGAAAAGGCTGCACCACAGGGGAGGGGGGCATGTAATCCAGATTATCAAAGCAGATAATCCACAATATCTGCTTTGAAGTGGGTTATCATAGAATCATAGAATCAAAGAGTTGGAAGAGACCTCATGGGCCATCCAGTCCAACCCCATTCTGCCAAGAAGCAGGAATTTTGCATTCAAATCACCCCTGACAGATGGCCATCCAGCCTCTGTTTAAAAGCTTCCAAAGAAGGAGCCTCCACCACACTCCGGGGCAGAGAGTTCCACTGCTGAACGGATCTCACAGTCAGGAAGTTCTTCCTCATGTTCAGATGGAATCTCCTCTCTTGTAGTTTGAAGCCATTGTTCCGCGTCCTAGTCTCCAAGGAAGCAATGGGATTTGTAGTTGGGTATCAAAGTGCAATTATGCTGGGGAAAGTGGAAGGCATTGTTCCATTGCATCCTAGTCTCCAAGGAAGCAGAAAACAAGCTTGCTCCCTCCTCCCTGTGGCTTCCTCTCACATATTTATACATGGCTATCATATCTCCTCTCAGCCTTCTCTTCTTCAGGATAAACATGCCCAGCTCCTTAAGCCGCTCCTCATAGGGCTTGTTCTCCAGACCCTTGATCATTTAGTCGCCCTCCTCTGGACACATTCCAGCTTGTCAATATCTCTCTTCAATTGTGGTGCCCAGAATTGGACACAATATTCCAGGTGGATTATATCAGCAGAAGTGGATTATATCAGCAGGTTAAACTGCTGAGCTGCTGAACTTGCTGACCGAAAGGTTGCTGAATTTGCTGACAACAGGGGAGGGGGCATGTAATTCAGATTATCAAAGCAGATAATCCACAATATCTGCTTTGAAGTGGGTGAAATTGCTGAGCTGCTGAACTTGCTGACCGAAAGGTTGGCGGTTTGAATCCAGGGAGTGGGATGAGCTCCTGCTGTTAGCCCCAGCTTCTGCCAACCTAGCAATTTGAAAACATGTAAATGTGAGTACATCAATAGGTGGGACACTCCATGCAGTCATGCCAGCCACATGACCTTGGAGGCGTCTAGGGACAACTCTGGCTCTTCGGCTTAGAAATGGGGATGAGCACCACCCCACCGAATCGGACATGACTAGAATTAATGTCAGGGGAAACCTTTACGCTGAAATATAACCCAGTTCAAAGTAGATTATTTGGATTTTATATGGCAGTGTAGGCCCCTTGCTTTAGTGGATGAAAAAAACCCAGCACTCACTGTGAATTCTAAGGCCTTCACCAAATTACACATCCCAGCATCCCCTAGGAAGTATCTGTGACAATTAAAAGTGGAACCAAACTGTCATAAATGTGCAGAGTGAATACAACCAAGACAATGAGCAGTCACTTAAGGGGCATACCCTGTTTCCCCGAAAATAAGACATCTCCTGAAAATAAGACCTAGTAGAGCAGTGGTTCTCAACCTGTGGGTCCCCAAATGTTTTGGCCTTCAACTCCCAGAAATCCTAACAGCTAGTAAACTGGATGGGATTTCAGGGAGTTGTAGGCCAAAGCACCTGGGAACCCACAGGTTGAGAACTACTACTGGTGTAGAGGTTTTGCTGAATTGCTAAATATAAGGCCTCTCCTGAAAGTAAGTCCTAGCAAAGTTTTTGTTTGGAAGCATGCTCTCCCTAGTGGCCAGAAGCTGCAATGGGTGGTCCAGGAACTGTTGTGGGAGATCCTTACTCCAGACAGTATGTGGGAGCCAGGGACTTTGTAGCCCTTCGTTTTGTGGCTCTGTGTGTAATGGCCAGTATATTTATTTTATACTGACAACTACTATAAAGTATATAATAAATTTTAATTGTTTTTGGTTCAACAATAAATGTGGAAAAATAAGGCACCCCCTGAAAATAAGACCTAGCGCATCTTTGGGAGCAAAAATTAATATAAGACACTGTTTTATTTTCAGGAAAACAGGGTACTTCTCTCACTTGCTCCTCCTTCCTCTCCCCTCAATATACCTGGCGCTCTTATCTGCTGGACTTACAAAGAATTATATTTAATGGTGGGTAGGTATACTCCAGCTCAAGTGAAATGGTAGGAGTTCCCATTGCTTAAAATAGGAGGAGAAATAAGGGCAGGGGAGTTGGGCCTGCTTAGCTTGGGCCAAATCTTGCCCGTTCCTTTTCCTTAGAGGAGAAGTTAATAAATAGGGTGAAAAAATTAATATTTTAATAGCAGGATCCTAAGCACACTTATTCGGAAGTGAGTCCCTTGAGAAAAATCTATGGGACTAAGAGAAAATTCTCTTATTTGGAAGGGAGTTGGATGGAACTGACTGAACAGGCGTAGGCAAACTTTGGCCCTCTAAATAAGACATCCCCTGAAAATAAGACCTAGTAGAGCAGTGGTTCTCAACCTGTGGGTCCCCAGCTGTTTTGGCCTTCAACTCCCAGAAATCCTAACAGCTGGTAAACTGGCTGGGATTTCTGGGAGTTGTAGGCCAAAAAGATCTGGGGACCCCAGGTTGAGAACCACTGTAGTAGAGGTTTTGCTAAATATAAGGCCTCCCCTGAAAGTAAGACCTAGCAAAGTTTTTGTTTGGGAGCATGCTCCCCCTGGTGGCCAAATGCTGCTATATCAGCTTAAGCTTAAAGGCCTGAGGCTGTTAGGAATGATGGGAGTTGGAGTCCAAAACACCTGGAGGGCCAAAGTGTGCCCATGCCTGCTGCAGAATTAATGCAGTTTGACATCCCTGTAACAGCCATGGTTCAATGCTATAGAATCCTGGGAGGTGTAGTTTTGCAAGAGCAGTTCAGCAGTGGAACTCTCTGCCCTGGAGAGTGGCGGAGGCTCCTTCTTTGGAAGCTTTTAAACAGAGGCTGGATGGCCATCTGTCAGGGGTGCTTTGAATGCAGTATCCCTGCTTCTTGGCAGGGGGTTGGACTGGATGGCCCATGAGGTCTCTTCCAACTCTTTGATTCTATGATTCTAAGAACATTAGCATTCTCTGCCCAATAGGGTCGGTGCCTCAGCAAACTAGAACTCCCAGGATTATACAGTAAGAACACTATGAAAATAATGTTTGATATGTACTTAATATGTACTTCAATATTGGTAATTGGCGATGGATTGTGATATTATTCTACCAGTGTCAGCAATAAAAAATTAATTTAATTTTTTAAAAATTAATTTAATTTTTTTTTAAAAAAATTAATTTTAAAAAAATAAAAAAAAGGATTACACAGTTCAAGTGGCATCAAACTGCATTAATTCTGCCATGTAGATGCAGCCCAAGCCTACAAGAGTGCTTTTTAAATTATTTTTCTTGGTGGTGGTCTTATGATTTTGGTTTGATTTCTTAGCAAACGGGGATGAATAGGAATGGGATTAGTGCACCAAAACTTGTATTTGGAACGGGAGATCTGAAGAAGGCCAATTAAGTTTACATATTTTTGTGTTTTTTGGTTTGGGAGGGAGTCAGGTTTACCGTTCTGCGACAATTTTGAAGTAGCGTACAAAATAAAAAACACAAATGGTGCAGTATTAGGTGGAGAATGTAAGTGCCTATGTCTTAATGCAAGGTGTGCGAAGCCTTTATGTTAGAGCTCAGTATGAAATGTGACCATGCCTTCATGTCATTTTTTTAAAATGTTTGTGGTGGATTTAGGAAATGAATCCTTATGAAAATTGAAAATTTTGAAAAAAAAATCAAAACATTGAAAATAGTAGGATCAATTGACTCATAAGCCACACTCTTTTTATAGGTTTTTCTCTGTGTCTGTCTCTCTTTCTCTCCTTTTCCCTCCATACATAGTTCGGCTTGCAATTTTATTTTATTTTATTTTGCAGAAAACAAAAGAAACTGGCAATTTGGGTTTTTTTTGTTACCAATAGTAGCATGTACTTTCCTTTCCAGGTTTCTTGTACCACGGAAGACTAAATTAAAAGAATGTTGACAAGACTCAAAGGCTTTGTTTTTGAAACATAATGTGTTGTCGAAGGCTTTCGTGGCCGAAATTACTGGGTTGTTGTGAGTTTTCTGGGATGTCTGGCCATGTTCCAGAAGCATTCTCTCCTGACATTGCACACACATCTATGGCAGGCATCCTCAGAGGTTGTGAGGACTGTTGGAAACAAGGCAAGTGAGCTTTATGTACTATGTGATGTATTGGCAAATGATGTGTGCAGACCT